GACACCTACCTGGGCCTTAGATCAACGTATTTTGGATGTTAGATGGGAGCGGGTTTACGTTTGTCCCAAAAAGACAAGATTATTAACTATCTGGTACTTCTTAAAAGCAGAAGTCATGGCTAGGGGTTAGCTGTCCATATGATTATACGTTGCATGCTGTTGCTTAATGTTAATGATAAACATCATTGATGTTGTGCTTTGTTACACAACTGGTTATTTAGCATTTTAGGCTTCGCAAAATGGCCGTACAGAATAGCCGTAGGTGTCTAAAAGGATACGGACGCTGACAGCCTCAGCGTCTGTGCTCAGCAATCTCTTCACCTCCTTTTCCACATCAGGAGATTCAATGTACTGCGAGAGAGAGAGAGAGAGAGAGAGAGCGAGAGAGAGCGAGAGCGAGAGCGAGAGAGAGAGAGATTGGTTACATGTAGTGTTAGCAGCAGCTCTCTCCCTCTGTCTTACACACACAAAGGTAGCAGCTGGCTGCATGCCAGGAAGCACATTAGCGATTAAAAACAGAAGGGGCCAAATCAATATGGCTCGGCTCTGCATCTTCAGGAAGATTTATTCTGAAGACAAAGTAGAAGTGTAGTGCTTGAGCACACTCGCTTTCACTTTGATCAAAGCAATAGTGAAATTGCTTTTTTGCATGCCTTTGGGGCAAACTAAGATAGAAAGGCTTTATTTATATGTAAATCTTAGTTTTTACTTTCACCACAGTTCCTATTTTATGAAATGTAAATGTCTTGTTGGAAGAGAGCCTGGGAAAGCGATGGATCATCAGACAGGATGCTAAAGAGACGGATGGGAAAGGGGAGGGGAGTGCTGGGGGGGAAATGAAAATGTCAAAACCTTCTTTTTCGCAGTCTTCCGAAATCTCCTCTTGCGTGTGTTCTTCAGAGGGCAGGTGACTGGAGACCAAAACAACAGGATCAGTGAAGTCAAAATGGCTCAATCAGCTGTGAAAGGCAAACTATGCTTCCTGAATTGCTGAAGTTTTCTGCACTACCTGTGTGTAGCTATAAGGCTACTTACTGCCGTGGTTCCAAACGAATTTCTTGTCCTTGTCTTTGTCCTTCTTCTTGCTCTTGGGGTCGGTGCCAGTTGGCTCCTCTAAAGGAGGGTAAAGGTCTCCATCTAGTGTACATACCAGCATCTAACCCAAGGATGCAAAATTAGTGGTAAATTATTACTCCGCATTGTGCTGATTAATGCTGCTAACCCTATAACCCTAAACAGGAAAAGTGGGGACGATACCTTAGTTTTAAATGTTAATGTTAAAATATTTGAGAATCACAATCCTCATCCTAAATGCAAACAAGAAATGTATCCAATGAAGATGACATCCTAAATTTAATGCCACTGTGGTTTACCTGGCAGACATCAGCAGTCTTGTAAAATGTCTTCTTGTCCACCGTTTTTAGAGACTCAATCATACAGGGCAGGTCCACCAGTTTGCAGGCCAGAGGGACGCGGTCTACCCTCACTATGCCATGACGACCATCGGCTAAGAACGAGAAGGGCAACATGATTGATTAATATGAGATGTTGTGTGTGAGACAGAGGAAATCATTGTCATTAAAACACAGCAGTCACTGTTGAGTTGAAAAACAGAGAGTACAAGTGCAGGTGAGGATTTGTTGTCAAATTGACTGCTGTTACTAGTATTAGTATTATGTATTCCAACAAAACTGAAAATAAAACTCATAAAATGTCAATTCCAACTGAGAAAAAATTGCAGTTGAAACAATGTTAAGTTGAAATAGATCAGTTGTGCTAGTATAAAGATATAAGAGTGAATCCCTAATTACAAACTAGACTGAACACTGTAGAAATATGGAAATATACATTTCGCAAATTACAAAATTCTGAATAAGCTCTAGTTAAATGAATAACCTGACAGCTTTCATATGAGACTGATTGATAAGACAAATGAAATCAGTGTTTGAACAGTGACGTCAGATCAGACATATAATACCAGTACTAAGACTACTGATAAACCAGCTTACGGTGCAACTCAATGGTGAGTCTGTCTTTCATGTTCATACTGCTGGACTGGGCAATCCTCCTTACTGTTGAGGCGTACTCCTGTAAAAGAGAGATGATGAATCCACATCATTTCCAGCCAACAGTAAAACTTAATTTCATAGAAATAACCAGTTTCATTATGTGCCACAGTCTCACCGAAGGAAGCCTCAGGACAAACTGGCTCTCCAATTCATAAGGAGCATCCTCCTTATTCTTGGAGCCGACCTTCCCAACTAGAATGAAAAAAACATCACCATGACCAAAGTGGTAAAATAGATTCCTTGCTGCTTGGTATATATTTCTGAAACTACAACAACACACTAGAAACAAACAGAGACTTTGGACTTTTGTAAGAGCAATATATCTGGCTTTTTGCTTATTTTGAACTAACCTAGAGTAATACAGTATGTTACGGCTTGGATGGTCTAGTCTTTTGACCAATTTCATCTCATATGAACTGCACTTTTCTAGCCCTTCAGATTAGGCATCTTAGACCACTGCTAATCATATCAAGAAAAACACTAAAACCAAAGTGAACCATCCACTTGCTGTTAAGAACTGTAACTTCATTAAGGAGTATTTTGGAGTAAATTTATTCATAACATTTTTTTAATGCTTGCCATATTTGTATTTAATGTCTCTCAACTCAGGGGCTTCTCACTTCAACATCTGAAACTGTGGGCGTCCCCTCATACATAGCTTGGAAAAGGTGCCTCAACCTTCCTGGATGCCTAGGAGCTCATAATTGTGTTACTTGATTCTATAGACAACTGAGCCAAGATAACACTACTATGCAGTTTGACGTAAGTTCAGACTACACTAAGTACATAATCAGTGTATCAGTTTCTGACTCTGGGAAAGTGGGAAAACAGTTAAATTCCTAAAAAATAACAATATATCTGAACTATCCAATGTGATCTCCTTTTGTTAACTAGTGTAATAACTAATGTAGTGTTGTTTCACTTCCTTTCCTCAGACTGTTTGGAGTCATCCTGGAGAGGTCAACCTCCCTCTGTCTTAAGTGATTTCAAATAGAAGCTTTTTTCCAGCTTTTTTTTTCTACCTGTATCTAATATTTGTATTCAGCTTTGGTAGTGCACATTTATTGTTCTTGTTATACATCAAGCAACATTACATCTTGTTGGTACACATCACCTCTATTGCACAATGATATTATAAACGAATATCTCATATTTTTAACTTTGAGCATTGACTTGTGATTCCTTGTGGTAAATAATGATGTAGCCAAACTAAAACCTCTTCTCAGCTGTCATCAATATACAGTATTTAAAACAGACAACACTATCATGACTCCTCTCAAACACACTAATTGTATTATTAGTTCAAGACTAGCATCAGCTAACTATAATTAAGTGTGATAAATCTTAGTATGAATGAACGATCTCTGTTTTGCCAATATAAGTTTAACCTCAAGTCAGGTGTGTAAAGTGGGACTAGCCCAGTTAATTTAGCCTGAATTACTTTTAGAATGAGACATAATAAAAATAACTTAATGCCAGAGTAAACATCAGGTAATTACTTTTATTATAAGTTAGTAACGTTATCTAACGCTATCACAGTTCATAACAATAGTAACGCAGCAGGCAGGGTTAGCACAGAACATGTAACTGTAACGTTAATGTTAGAGAAAACCCTGATGAATACACTACACACTT